TTATGTTCCCACCAGTTTGTTGCTGTTTTAATATCAAATGCAAAAAGCCGCACTGCTTGGATCTGCACGCATATTATGAAAATACATTACGACGTCCTAGGTCCCTGGGTGGGGCCTGACTAGTAACCAATGCCAAATCCGGCGAAACAACTGGCCGCTGTGATACAATTTTATAATAATAATCTTATTTAGAAAAACACACATAAGAAAAATATAATACCAAACATATTAAAGAAGTAAATGAGCAAAATTGCAAATAAGGAAATATGGATGGATAAGCTAACGGTTTAAAATATCATAAAGACTTCTATTTTAGAATATTATTGATTTTTGTAAAATATATCATGTCATCAATATTAAATACAAAAGTTAAATGTCCTTAAGATTTAAACTAAAAATACCTGGTTAGCACAGTATAAATCACTAACTAAAATGATAAACTATGCAAGATGAAACCAATATTCAAAGTCACAATTTTCATGAAATTAAAAATCTAAATTTTATATGTGAAACACCTCAAATATGGAGCCCCATATTATATGTGATGTAAATCCACATATAAAGTTACATATGAAACATAGACTCTAGTTGGAATTGAATCCTGCATCAGAATTACTTTTTAAATATAAAGTTATTTTGGACAATAAGGCATAATTTAGTTACTCAATCTTCCAAATAAGGAATCAAGCAACTTTTCAGTAGGTAGCATTGAAAATCGTTGCAGCTATTACACATACATTGTTAGTTTGGTATATTTCAGAGAAATATCTCAGATTGAATTGAGATCTCAGTTGTCAATATTTGTTCTGTTCTACTCTGAGTCATTTTTCAGAATTGCTGGATTTTATAGGAATGCCACTACAGATGGAATGATAACCTTCCATTACCTTTCCAGCATTTGTTAAAAAAGTCCATTTTAGGAATTGGAAGTGGGTTATATACTGTATACATTTTATACTGATTTTTTTCTAAATATAATCTTCACAGTCAATTAATATTCTTTTTCCATTGAAATTCCAACTTGCATCTTTATTACAATATTCAAATTTTGATCATATAATATTTAACCCATTTGAATTTAGGTCATATTTCACTAGCACTTTAAAAATTAAACTCAACAGGCATTTGTCATTAATGTTGATTTTCAAATTCAATCAAAATTTCTCAGTATATCCCTTTCTGCAGCTCTTTTGATACTGTTGCTGCATATTTAGACAACTAAATGAAGCTTGGACATTGGAGTACTAGTTCCCTTAATGTCTTGTTTTCCAGCTTTTTGAATGGCACTTGTATCTTGATAAATCTCTTCCTGCACCACTGGGCCCTATCGCAGCCTGGCTTTGTAGGGCTGAGACCTCTCTTAGAGAAGACATTTCCATTCAGCAGTCTCATGAGGAAACAGCAGATACGTTACATCGGAAACTTGAACAGCATAAGGTTTGTACATTTTCAGTTAAATGATATTGTTTCTAAATTTTTATGCATATTGGAGCATGAGGATTTGAAAGTATGAATGACTTATGATAAGTACATATAGAGGCCCTGCTGGTCTATGATCATAATAAACATTTGATTGATAAAAAGGCTAAGATCGTGATGGAGAACCTATGGCATGCATTCATGCATCCATGCACGCCTTCCGCCAGCCAGCTGATTTTCCAGTCTTTGCTGGGCGCACACAGGAGGTGGGCAGCAGGGGGTGTTCACCCATGTGTGGGCAGCAGGGTCAGGGGGTGCAGCACTCCCCCACTGCCCATTTTTGCTCCCAGGAGACTGCGGGGAGGTCTCCCAGGTCCAAAAGGGGGCGCAGAGGGCACATGCATGGACATGGGGAGTACAGGGATCACACGTACAGGGGCTGGGGCACGTGGGGGGAGGGGTGTCACATGTGCATTGCATTACGGGTTCAGGCAGCACGCGATGATACAAAGGTTAGTCATCAGTGGGCTAAGATATACATATTTACGGTAATAGAAGACTATTGAAAAAGTACATGGCTTTCGCTTCCTGGTTAACTTATTCTGAACTTAGTTTTATCCTCAGTTAGTAATTCATTCCAGGCTATCCAGTCAGTGTGGCAAACTGCTGGGAACTTTGTAGACTCTCATTCTAACAGCCTGGAGGGCATCTGGAAGGATAAGGCAATTCTATGGCATTTGTAGAAGGAAGCAAATAGTGGGAACTACCTATACTTTATTCTTGAAATCAACCATATTTTCCAAGCCATCTGCAATAAAAGGAGAGAAAGAAATGCAGTTATGTAACTTTGCCCTATTATATTTATGAAAAGACTTGCTTCAGAAAGAAACTCTATAGTTGGATCGGGTTTTTCTTTTAACGATTGAATATGTATCTGTTCTATTTAAGCAAATTCATTATTTTTATCTTAAAATTATGCAACTCATTTGTTTAAATATTATGCAACTCACTTGTTTAAAATTTGGACTTGCATTAATTAAATTTAATAGTCTTATTCATTATATACAATTATAACATAGTTTAAATTTATGTATTTATTAAATTTATAAGATATCCCGATTTCTTAGCACTCTGGATAGCTTATAAAATACAAGAAAAAAAACAGAAAAGGGTATTCATCATCATTTTAGCCATTGTCTATCCAGGCCTCTTCTGCATGTTTCCAACAATATGCTCCTGAACTTTCTTTTGCCAATTGGGCCCACAATACTTGCTGATGTCATTGATCCATCTTGTTATAGGTCTCATTTGTGGACACTCTTTATAAAGTGGGATCCACAACTATCTATACACCTTTCTGTATTCTTTATTGCATTTTTTTTTAGTTCAAAAGTTTTATTTCTTTTAAGACAAACATTTCATCATTCCTCAATCAGTAAGACATC